ATAACAGGATGTGCTCTTTAGCCTAATTAAGCACATTCATTAAAAACTAATGAGTGGAAATTGTAGATTGCTTGTGTGCAGGATAGCTAGAAAAGCCAGAAAAGTCGGAGCAGAAATGTTCTTTTCCACGTTAGGAGAAAGCTTTAATCTTCCGCCTCTCGTGCCCCCCCCCCATTCTTATATATAGTACATGACGGAGTTTCTTGTACATGTATATGATTGTATATGATATATCTGGCATATGTATGTTAACAATCATAAAATTTCCTAAAATGTTACCCTTCGGAAAAGCTTCCATTTCTCCATATAATCATGAGGTTAAATCAAACCTGCTTGACACATTGCAAATGCCCCATTGTAATCCTATCGGATATGATAATAATTTACGTAATTTACAAAATACGCCCAAAGATATTTGGCAAAAAAATTATGTTTCCGTGCTTTGTAATGTAATAGAGGGGCAGCGAGTAGGCAAAAATGTGTGTAACGGGACACGGCATTGAATTTCAGATATTGCCCCTCCCCCGCACATGAAATGGTACAGTCCGCCTGTGGTGCCCGCCTCTCGTGCCCTACTCCAGTACTCGCGTCACCCCTTACTCCTGACATAAGGCCACACCGACTATGGATGATATCCGCGCGCGCATTGATTTTCGCCTGTTTTATTCCAAAATCAGGAAAGAATTAATGTAATGCATATCATCTATACAAATTACTTGCTGTGGCCTTAGACCTAAAAGCAAAGAGTCTGAATAAAGACACAGAGAACAAGAGTGGGGACAATTGGGTGAGTTGTTTTATTATAACAAAGGGAGGAATGACTCCCATAGAACAATTGTACCTTGTCATAAACATTTCTCTCTTTGTACATATAAAAAAATTAACTTGTGGTCAGTATCAGAAGAGGTTCAACCATAAATTTGGGCTTAGGTCTCAAAAGTTTCAGACTTACATAGAAAAATAAGTGTTGTTTTCGTAGGTATGGACTACATGTATCCCAGGGATTTTTTAACACCACTCCAAGAGATCCTCACTGACCCCCCTGCAAAATGGTATGTTCCATTTTAATAGCTGCAAGTCAGAAGGAGCAGAAGCTTGTATGAAGGATTTCAACATAATTTTCCATGAGACATTTGAACTTTGACATATAGGTTGCCCGGGTGGATACCCTCGTTGACCTTAATGCAGTTCAAAGGTTAGAGACTAAAGGTTAACAACCTGAGAATAGACGATTGCATCACACGGTGTCAAAGGTCAGAGGTTATGACCTAACACCTGACTCACATTGGTGAAATGTGTACAGCCAATCAAATGTGCTCATGGAAAGTATGACGGAGTACAAGCTTGAATGTTACTTTTAAACTATGTTCCACTGAGGAGGTTTTGAGGATTTTGAGTATATGAGGTTGTCATCATGTTTCCCTGCTGAGACTTTACAAAGAGGTCAAAGGTGATCTCTTGGAGAGGTACATGCAGTACAATGTTCCCTTGCTAGGTGGTGCTGCTGCCGAGCTTGTCAATACAAAATTTTTGTCTCCAAAATCCAGCAGCAGTTCCTGGCAAATGGGTCCATTTCTAGGGAGTCGCAGAACTCGAGACAGTCTGTGGCAAGTTGTGGGCATCGTATCATCACTTTTCACTTCATCTTGGCATCATCTCAAAGATTCGTGTTCTACAAAGAAATTTTCCCGTCACATGGACAACTCCTGTCCAAGTGATAAAACATATACATCCAGGAAAATGTTCTTTCGATAGCTCCATGCTGATTTGCGGTCACAAGCATCAAATGGTCTAAGATATTTCGTTACTCAAAAGTTAACTGTCAGAAACCAATTTGAGTTGTGTAGTTTTCACAGGACGAAATAAATATACAGGTGAAAGAAATGAAACGTTTTCCAACATTCTTGTGTTTTGATGATACACGATGCACATCTTGCCCTTTCTAAACATTTACAACGCCTCCTTTTGGACTTTTCCGGGACTGCAGAGTTCTGAGACTGCCCCACTGCGAGTGGAGGGGTCGTGTGTTCGCACTTATATTGGCCTTCTGCAGCGAGACACTGTTATATTTACATGCATGCTTCAAGCCTATGGTATCTTACCAAGCATAACTCACACAAAACCCTGCTTCTAAGAAAAATGCGTGAATTCATTGACGTGAAATAATCAACATTTGCCCTCTCATTTTCCAAGGACATCGACATTACCCAGAATTCAGTGCAGAAACAGGGTTTTGTGTGGCCATGCCAAACAGTTGGTTGCTATGGCAATGGTTGCCATGACAACCCACTTTGACTTTCACTCATCAATAAATTAAAACAAGACATATCACCA